ATTCTTTCAGTGTGAATTCCCTATTATTTCAGTGTGAATCTCCCTATACTTTCAGTGTGTGAATCTCCTATTATTTCAGTGTGATGTTCCCTATTATTTCAGTGTGAATCTCCCTATACTTTCAGTGTGATGTCTCTCTATTATTTCAATCTCCCCTATTCTTTCAGTGTGAATCTCCCTATTCTTTCAGTGTGTATCTCTCTATTATTTCAGTGTGTTTCTCCCTATACTTTCAGTGTGATGTTCCCTATTATTTCAGTGTGAATCTCCCTATACTTTCAGTGTGAATCTTTTATTTCAGTGTGAATCTCCCCTTTCAGTGTGAATTTCCTATTATTTCATTTCTCCCTTTTATTTCAGTGTGAATCTCCTATTCTTTCAGTGTGAATCTCTTTCAGTATTCTTTCAGTGTGAATCTCCCTATTCTTTCAGTGTGAATCTCCCTATACTTTCAGTGTGATGTTTCCTCTATTCTTTCAGTGTGAATCTCCTTTTCAGTATTCTTTCAGTGTGATGTTCCCTATTATTTCAGTGTGAATCTCCCTATTCTTTCAGTGTGAATCTCCCTATACTTTCAGTGTGATGTTTCTATTATTTTTCAGTGAATCTCCTATTCTTTCAGTGTGAATTCCCATACCAGTGTGAATCTCCCTATTTCCTCTGTGAATTCCCTATTTCAGTGTGAATTTCCTATACTTTCAGTGTGAATCTCCCTATACTTTCAGTGTGATGTTCCCCCTTATTTCAGTGTGAATCTCCCTATACTTTCAGTGTGAATCTCAACGTTAGTGTGAATTTCCTATTCTTTCAGTGAACGAATCTCCCTACTTCAGTGTGAATCTCCTATACTTTCAGTGTGATGTCTCTCTATACCAAAATCTCCTATTTTTCAGTGTGATGTTCCCTATACTTTCAGTGTGAATCTCCTTTCTTTCAGTGTGTGTCTCCTATACTTTCAGTGTGAATCTCCCTATTCTTTCAGTGTGTATCTCTCTTTTATTTCAGTGTGTTTCTCCCTATTCTTTCAGTGTGAATCTCCCTATTCTTTCAGTGTGATGTTTCCTATTCTTTCAGTAATTATTTCAGTGTGTTTCTCCTATACTTTCAGTGTGATGTTTCCTATTATTTCAGTGAATCTCCTATTCTTTTCAGTGTGAATCTCCCTATACTTTCAGTGTGATGTCAAGTGTAGATCTCCTATACTTTCAGTGTGATGTTTCCCTATTATTTCAGTGTGCTCCCTCTTTCAGTGTGATGTCTCCCTATTTCAGTGTGAATGATTCTTTCAGTGTGAATCTCCCTATTCTTTCAGTGTGAATCTCCTTTCAAGTGTGATTTTATTTCAGTGTGAATCTCCCTATACTTTCAGTGTGAATCTCCCTATACTTTCAGTGTGAATCTCCCTATACTTTCAGTGTGATGTTTCCTATTATTTCAGTGTGAATCCCTCTTTCAGTGTGAATCTCCCCTATTATTTCCAGTGTGAATCTCCTACAGTGTGAATCTCCTATACTTTCAAAAATGTCCCTGGCTGATTCAGTGTGAATTTATATAACACCGGATGAATCTCCCTATACTTTCAGCTCCTATACTTTCAGTGTGATGTTTCCTATTATTTCAGAATCTCCCCATTTCATCTGAATCTCCTAAGTGTGAACTTCCTTTCCTACTTTCAGTGTGATGTTTCCTATTATTTCAGTGTGAATCTCCCTATAGCGTGGACCCCTATTTCCTTGTGTTTCCTATTTTTTAAGCATTTCACCCCAAGTGTGAATCAAGTGTGATGTTTCCTAATTTCAGTGTGAATCTCCTATTCTTTCAGTGAATCTCCCCTACTAGTGTGAATCTCCTATTCTTTCAGTGTGTGTCTCTATTATTTCACGCAACGGGGAATTACAAAGAGATACCTATATAGAGGAGAGCAAAGAGGAGTAGGATCGGACTCACTTTTTTCAGAAGATCTAGGAGACAAACGCATAACCATTACACCGTATCGATGGAGAAGCTGTTTATATAACACCAGGATAGATCCCCCCATTATCTAATAAGAACTTCCTTTCCTACTCTATAGCATCCTTGGAATTTTTAAGCATTTCACGCAAGGGTTACGATTGACAAAGACATTTGGGAATCAGTCTGGAGATTACAGCTATCAGGGAAACAAGAAATGGGGAGGGAGTTCCACAGGCGAGAAGTGCGAGACATGTAGCTATTGGAGTAGAGAATGCCTGTAAGTCTTACAGTGTATTTCTCTTAATTAGCCATCCTTGGTCTTAGATCACGATTTAAAACGAAAATGGGAAAGTTAAAACAAGTGCCCTGAGATACAAAATAATCCGAGAAGAAAATCTATTATATGTGGAAAAAAAAATTTATTTAAATTTTCTTGTTCTATAGTTTTCTGGGGACATTATTATTACTAATAAATAAAAATGTAAAATAATAATAATAATAATGAATATGATGAATAAAATAAATTACATTAAAACTGTTTAAAATAGATTAAATAAACCAAAATAATAAAAGTTCTCCCAGAATGTAATAGAAATTTTTCCTGCCAGTAACCGGACTTCGCGCCAAAAACTCTGAATTCAGTCTCTTTCACTACTGCCCGGGGGAAGGTGAAGACATCCATCTCGTCCCATCGGAACGTTACTTATTATAATACCATGTGTCTTTCTTCCCTTATCATATGCAACCGTAAAACATATACAACTAAAACACACACACACACACACACACACACACACACACACACACACACACACACACACACACACACACACACACATTTTATGATTTTAATTTACAATTTAACTTGTTTTAATTTTTATTTCTGTGTATTTTTTTTATTCATGTGAACACGAGGCTATTCCTGCTGGTATTGTAGTGGACCGTGTGGGTTTGCGCGTTGTTAAATTAAAAACCTGTGTGTAACTCCTGGTAAAATATTAAAAGGTCCAACTATAAGAACAATGCCGGACTCAAGTTAAACCCAACTGAAGTTGTAAAGAAGACGAACAAAACCGTATATATATATATATATATATATATATATATATATATATATATATATATATATATATATATAAACAAATATATGCATTAAACAAAACAATTTTACAATGAACATAGACAATAACATTTGTGTGGGTGTAAACATTGGTGCCTGTTCTTTGGTCAGTGTTCATGGCGTCTTCCCACAATACGGAGACGTTATCTTTTTGCAAGAGCTTACATTGTAGATGTATTCGCTGAAATGAAGAAATGAAAAAAGAGAACGAGGCAAGAAGTCGCCCAGCATGTATAGTATAGGGAGAGTGATCCCTAGTGACAATTAGGGAATTAAGGAGGAGCTAACTCCGACAGTATGATGTGAGTGACCCCACAAGTTCACAGACGTTTTTGAATAAAAAAGATTTCTTTCTATATTTCTTTATAAAACGCAAAACAATAAATATAACATTGTAGGTGGTTGGTAGATATTTATGATGTTGTAAACAATAAAATTCATCTTGGAAATAAATAATCTAACAACTAAATGGCCTTACTTTTTCAACTGACTTGGAGGGAACGACTACATCGAACAATAGCTGCATCTAATGCAAGGAAAGTTGAGTCACTGTGCCGTGCAAGAAAGTTTTTTTCTCGTCAGGGTCCATCTTGCAGATAAACAAATCTGCCATTCATCCGTGCATTAAATACTCTTACCATATCTGGTCAGGTGCTTCTGTTAGACTTCTCGAGGTTCTTGACAAAATCCAAAGAAGGGTCTGCAATGTAATCGATCCTGACTTAGCATCTCGACTTCACTGACTTTCTTACCGACGTGTCGTGGCTTTCCTCTGTCTTTTCTTCAGATATTTTCATGGCATCTGCTCTGATGATCTTTTTTCCCCTGGTGCCCCGACTACAGGAATTTAAGCGTGCTACTATACTGGCATCTAGGTCTCACCAGTTTACTGTTGAAATAACTAAATGCGGCCACCACTTCTATTCCAACAGCTTCTATTTTCACAATTCCTACCCGTGGAACTCCCTACCGTTTACTTGCTTCCCTGATAACTACAATCTTCAAAAATTTAAATCCAATGCAATCGTCATCTCCTAACTTCTTGAATCCAGTTCATCTTTTATCCTTTCCTCAGTCCCCCACCCCTATACCCAGTATTTCCTCTCACTTTCACTCTCTGTATTCCCGCCTTTATTTAAAAAAATAATATGTAACATTTCTAAACGTAGATTTTTAAAACAGTAAACATTGTCGAGGAAGTAAATATACGGTGTCAAGCGAAAATAAATATTGTCGAGGAAGTATGCGGCGTCAGGGGAAAAACTGTCCTTTTGTCATTTTTCTTTTTGGGGGTCCGAAGATTAAACTTTGTCGATTTGTTTTCATTTTAGGTCTTCTTACTCAAACTGGGAATCGGATAACGACTTAAAGAATTCGTACATGTGAATGATGCCAATGATTGTCTTGGAATATCCGAAGAGATATTACGTGAAAGATTTTTTTTTGCTTTGTTTAATTTTAATATTATTAGATGAAGTCTGGTCAGCCATTACTAATTTTTAGGTAGTAATTTTTCAGTTTACTTTCACTTGGAGTATTCGTAGTAATATTTTCTAAAATTTTATTATTATTAGATGAAACCTGGTCAAAGGTAGCTAATTTTAAGTAGTATTTTGTTGTTTACACTATTTACATTGTTCAAACTGCTGTCCTCAAGTTTACTTTCACAATCACGACGTTTCGACCGTTGCACGCATCGGCCTTCTTCAGGTGATATTTTGTTAGAATTTAGAACCAAATCCTTTATTTATTCCACGAGAGTAGATTGTTTTTGGTTTTGCGTTGCATTCCAATTTTTTACATGGCAGTAGATAGGTAGATATGAACAGATTTATATAGGTAGATGGATAGATAGATATATAGAAATAAAAGGAGATTGATTGATAGATAGATACATACATAGAAATAGACTTAGGTAGTAACAGACGGAAAAGATAGATAGATAGATAGATAGGAATAAACTGAGATAGATAGATAGACAGTGATAGATGGAGATAAGGTAGATAGATAGATAGATAGATAGATAGATAGATAGGAATAGACTTAGATATATAGCTAGATAGATAGATAGACAGAAATAGACCGAGCTGAGTAGATAGATAGATAGATAGACAGATAGATAGATAGATAGATAAAAAGACAGAAAAAGAAATAGACAGAGTTGTGTAGATAGATAGATAGATAGAAAGAAAGAAAGAAATAGACAGAGTTGGGTAGATAGCTAGATAGAAATAAATAAATAAATAAATAGACTGAGTTGGGTAGATAGATAGATGGATAGAAAGAAAAAATAGACCGAATTGGCTAGATAGATAGATAGATAGATAGATAGGAATAGACCGAGTCAGGTAGATATATTCGAATAGACTGTGATAAATAGTTCTGAACAGACAATATGTCGCAAAAAAAAAAAAAAAATAGAGCTACTGCATTTTCATTAATGTAATATGCTGAATGATGGAGCATCTTAACGATCTTAAGTGATGTGATGCAGAAAAAGGCCTGCAAAAATACTGGACCACCAGCGAAATGTATCCGTTTCAGTTCTTTTTCTTAAGCCAAAAAGGAATTTATTTTTTAAACAAGTGAATCTTTATTTTTTACAGAAATTACAATGCGTCTAAGTATGGAGTTAGTAGTGTTGTTGCCTTTGGCTCAGATAATTTCCTCAATTCGATGTGCCATTGAATAGAAACACGGTTCAGATTTTCTCATATGGAATTTTTTTTTCATTCTTCTTGGCAGTAATCCCAAACCTCTTGGAGATTTCATGATTTTCGTTGTTTCTTCAGTTCCGACTACAATGGTTCAATTACATGGAGATCAGTATTTTGTACTTGTCAGTCTTCCAAAAGTTGAACATTTTCATCCACAATAAATCACAAGCGCCTAATGTGTGGCAAGGAGAACCGTCATTCGGGAAAAAAAATTCTCTATCTCTTTAGTTTTCGCTGTTTAGGTTTTCCATCAGTTTTTACCAATTCTATCTTCGCTTTTTACCATCTTTCTGGTGTAACTTGCATTGACTCTTTCCCCTCTATTAGACACTTTACATATTCCCTTCCGTCCTGGGTATGACGTTAAACTGCATCCTCTGATCAGGAGGTTTTGAGGAGCGTGGAACCACCTCTTAATTGCTGGTGTTCCCAGGTCCACCCTGACCCGGGGTGGTAGCACCTGTTAGGGTCCCTGCTATGGGCAAATAGTGAACTCCTACTTTTTTTCCAGATCTTACCCACGTCCTGTGTATGGCGATAAACTACATCCGCGTCCTGGGCATGGCGATAAACTACATCCAACAACATAATGTTTTCGGAAAAATAATGTTGCCAGCTATACGTTTAATAGCACTATATATTCAAAATATATATAATAGTCATCCACGGTCAGACTGTTCCGCAGCTCATCAGTGTGGCTAGACATCCGGTAGCCTCTAGCTAGGATTGAGGCCCGACTGAATTGGTCTCAGTCAGATTTTCTACCACTAAGCCGTCGGCGCAGGGATGAAGGTGAATTTTAGCGTATTTATTTTTAGAAACACACACAGTGACCGACAGTGACTCAATTCGCTTTTTTTGCGAAGAGTCTCGCTATATTAGCTATAATAGTCACTGTTTACAAACCCACACCTCTTCCCCAGAGAGCTCAACTAAAATTAATTTTTCAGGAGCCAATATAATAGTCATCCACAGACAGAATGTTTCGCTGTTTCACAGCTCATCAGTGTGGCTAGACATCTAATTGACACACACACACACACACACACACACACACACACACACACACACATATATATATATATATATATATATATATATATATATAAAAGAAACAAGCAGTAAGATATATAATCCGGTGTTCTTATAGATATTTTTATTTTTACAAAATAGTGCTCAATGTAAATTTACAGAGCATTGATATTAATATTAATATTAATTTAGCTGTGTCTTTAAAACCCAGTAATTTTAAAAGTTACTCCAAAATTCGCTTGAGGATGAAATGGAACTAATGTCTTTAATTTAATTACAAAATTAAATTCTGAGCTTTTAGCTTCCATTTTTGAAACATGGTTAGAACTGTGTAGCGGAAAAAAAACATATTTTAAATTAATTTATAATATATATATATATATATATATATATATATATATATATATATATATATAAATTTGGCATTAAATGACCTACAGTGGTTGATATGCCATAAAACCCAACCAAGCAATTAAGATCTAACTTTATTTTACACAAAACACTAAAATTTACTTTTTGCCACTTACCAGCATCCGATGTTAAATTTTCTTTTGACCACTTCAAGCTTCTATTCCGATACTGTTTTGGTTAATGATGATTTTGTTTCTGCTATACGTCCGTTCAATTTGATTTTTTTTGTTGTAATTCACTGCATACTGTATCAAGTGAAACTTCACTCTTAAGACTTCATTTAATCCTTAATTGTCCGGCTCATGATTTTGGATTACTCACCGAGACTCTCACAATATTTCTTTCTTCTTTCTTGTCTATCTTTTGTATACTTCCGGTTTTATTTGAACTTAAAACGTTTCCAGTAGTATCTGTCTATATTTCTGAGATGAGATATTATGTATGCTATTTACATTATACACACTGTTATTCTCATCCTTGTTGCCATATTTATCACAGCGTTTCAACCGTTGTACGCTCCGGCCTTCTTCATGTGTTTGGTATGTCGAACTGAACCCTTTATTTCGCTCGCTGTTGTAGACTGTTCTAGTTCCACGTGTCATGTTTAATGGATGTCAGTTATCAGTTATCTCCTGTTAATTCAGCTCTCCAAATTCTCCACTGCCTTAACCAGGTATTGAACTCACAACTCTTTAGGTCCAGTCACTGGATCTTCCAGTAGTAGCCAACATCTTTTTTGATTGTTTCAACACTATTTCTGGAAATTTTCTGCTGCCTGGCTTCCTCTTTCGTTGCGTCATCTTCCCTTTGAAAGTCACAACCTTCATCTTTGTTTCGGCAGATGTTTTATTGTTTGATTTTAGTGTAAAAAAAAATCAAGCTAATGTTGAAGTACAATGACTTGCCGAGGTACTTTACATTCATATTAATAAAATAGAAGAATTCCTGCTTTGATATTTGTCTGTTATCATGAATTTATTCCAACAGTTTTGCATGGCGTTTTTTATCTTCGAGTTCAAGCTGCTTAAATCGCCGGGTCTTCTCTTGCACTGCACCTACGTAAACGCAACCATTTTCCCAAATCTCAAGGTGAATAATGTTAAAAGCGCGCAGCTAGACAATCTTACCTTCTTGTAAAATATGTTTGTGAACTCATTTTAAGTATCTGTCTATATTTCTGAGATGAGTTATTATGTACACTATTTACATTATTCGGACTATTGTCCTCATCTTTGTCGCCATATTTATCATAACGTTTCGGCCGTTGTACGCCCCAGCCTTCTTCAGGTGGTTGGAATGTCGAACTGAACCCTTTATTTCGCTCGCTGGGGTAGACTGTTCTAGTTCCACGTGCCGTGTTTAATGGATGTCAATTATCAGTTATCTCTTGTCAATTCCCCTCTCCAAGTTCTCCACTGTCTTAACCAATGCCTTTATCCACTGTGACATGTGTCCTCTAGTAGGCGGGTATCCTTGGATACGAGTGGCCATCCATCCATATCTACGGGTGTAACAGCAAAATTGTCCAAATCGTGTAACTGCAAAATTGCCCAATTGTTAGATTAAGCTTTGTATTTTAGAAATGATTAAACATATCTTACTGGAATTTTTCGAGGTTTTTATAACACTCTTGGACTCTAATTTGAACAATATGAATATATTTAGCTCTATGTTGAAATGAAGGTCCCTCTTGCTGTTGCGACCACATGATCGAGTTTTCCCCTCTACTGTTCGTTTTTTTAATACATTCACCGTTTTCTTTATGGTTCTTGACTAGTCTTTGAAGATGGAAGCCAGAGTATGAATGCTGGTACCATGACTGAAGTCCTGAATGATCTTACTCCTCTCACCATTGCTCAATTGAGAAAACACACACACACACACATATATTTAATTTAATAATATAATAATTCCACACTGCAGTTTTTATAATAAATTCAATAAGTTTAATAAAACATGTTGCAACTACCTATAAATTTAACTTTTTATGACGTCTAAATTAATTATTTAAAATTTGACAAAAATTGTTCAAACGAAATTGTAGATATTAAGGTTACTGTGATTTGAATAATAACTTCAGACGGACCACACACACACACACACAGAAACACACACACACACACACACACACACACACACACACACACACACACACACACACACACACACACACACATATATATATATGAAAGTTAACATTGAAGTCAACACTCAGAGGCGACAGGCTGTT